GAGGGAGAGAGGGGGAGAGAGGGGGAGAGAGAGAGGGAGAGAGAGAGAAGAGCAACACTGAGAGGTACTGAGACTGCAGGGTATGTACCCAGGTTGTCCATCATGGTTGGACTGAATATAGAAGTGGTCACTCCTGACAGCTCTACAATCTTAGATTTTCCAGTCTATTTGAGATGAGGAGGGATCATAGGGGGTGTTAGCCTGCTTGGTAGCTAATGGTGGCAAAAACCAGAGTTATCGGCACTGAAAGACTCATCCATCTTCTCGCCACTCTGCTGGCGAAAAGCAAACACATGGAACAAGACGCCCATACAGCATCCAGCTCTCACACTCTTGGCCAAACACACCTAACAGAGATAACAAGATGCTTAAGAGGCTGGGGAGGGCTGGGAGTTAACCCACAGGGCTGAAATGTAAATAAATCCTGCTTGTTGAACAAAAATAGCTATGAGCAGAGATTCACTAGCCATATTTGGTAATATTAGGTGTCAATTTTATGCTACAAGTGAGATACATATTGAAAATGATTTCTAAAGATGCATTTCATAGATATGTATATATATTAGGATCTACAGTACATTGATCTTACGATAGTATGTTTCTTTGTATTGTCATTACCTTTCATAGTTATATGCTGATAATGAATATAAAAAACAGTAAAATCCATGCATGTGCTTTTCTTTCATTATAAAACAAATCAAGTATTGACTAGTTAAAATTCTTGTTTCATATCCGTATGAAACCCTTTTTTTATGCATGTTGCTCAGACTAAGTATTAGTATACCAGGCAAGTTGTACAATATTGGCTTTTGGAAAGGATTATTTAATTTGAAGGGTTTTCATGAGCCTGATGGGATGGGAATTCACAATAAAAAAGCAATAAAATCAGAGGAAAGTCAGACAAAACCAAAATAATCTTGTGAAATGATCCTTCTAATCATTTGCTGTCTCCTCCATTTGATCTTGGGACCCCTCAATGGGTTGGGAACTACTTTCTTAGAAATAGAAAATCAATTCTAATCTATTGATTACTTGTCAATAAAAACAACAATAGGTGGTGGAAAGTAAGTATACTGTACTTAACTATAATTTTGAGGCACTTGTACTCCATCACTTCTCTCTACTTGCATTTTCTCTACATTTTAGAGATCACGAGTATAACATGTAATAAAATAATACAATGATACAGATAATAAAATATGATGCATTGTTTAGCAAACAATGGATCCAGCCTGACCAGTTAACACATAAAAATACTGTTTTCATGTTAATGCATTCGTTATAATTTAATATATACATATAGTAGTACACAATTTAGCTGTTTTCCCTCACACTTAATGGAGTATTTTAACATTGAGGTATTCTATCTACTACTACTTCCATCACTGTCAGTTTCTGCCCAGGTCTTATTTTACAAATGTGAAGGATTAGTCAATAATCCCACAACATCACAAGATATTAAACAAGTTCATATGTGTGTTGGAATATTCTTCATCTAACACTGAGAAACCACTGTCGCTCTTTTTAACGCATTGAGTTTCAACTCTCTGAGGCATCAATCATTATTAATGTGAAGTGAAAATATTTATGTGCCCCTTTTTAGGCTATTATACTTCACTGCAAGATTAAAAACATGTTCAAATCTTTTTTCTTTAATTCAATAAATCATTTCACAGCCCCTTGGGTGAATGATGGCCTCAGGAGAGAAAGAAGGTCATTCTATAGCTGCAGTTCACTGCCTGAGGTTGTACAGTCCCTCCATGCTTTCCAGCCACAGACAGATCCTCTCATCGAGGAACGTGCCATTTTCCTAACGGCGGCTGCCCCATATCAGGACCCATAGCGCCGATTCCGATTGACGATGATCATTTAATCACCGTCTTTCAGCTGAGCAGACCACCAGGGAGGCACGCGGGCGTCCAGACCAATATGCGTGAGAGTATTTGAGAAGGTTGACAAGGTTTAAGAGCTGTAACTATGATATATTCCACCAGGGATTGTTCTAATGGTTCTCCTCCCCTTCAAGGGAGGATTTGGATGGTCAACACATTGTATTGCACTGACCCACAGTTAGTGTTTTTGGCACTAAGCCTGATAAAGCAGAACGTCTCTTATGCGCAGTCCATTTGAATATAGGTTAAACAAAGAGACAGTCAGTTCAGAAAGAGTTTTTGTGAAGTAAGGCATAGGAAAATAAAAGTTTCAGTTCAGTTCAATTGGTTTTGTGTGCAAGTTAAAACACTTATCTTCACCATTTTTGATAGAAGTAAACGTTAACTCGTTTTTGAACACTTTTCCACTTTGTGCTAAACGTCCTGCTGTATCCACACCTATATACCTACACTGATAAAAATTACATGTGAAGACATGAAACAACAAAAAACTCCAGCAAACAATCCTCCTTAGTATTCAGCCTCTCTACCATCAATGGAACATTACATGTCTCTAAGCTTTATTCATAAGCTGTAAGCTGATATCATCTGAGGTCAGGTTTTTTTCTAAACAGGCATTTCCCAGTGCCATTGTTGGTGCTATATTTAGCAGCAGGGGCAGAGGACACACGTCCCACTTATGAAGGGGCATACAGGGCCTCTGTTTAACTAGCCACAGTCACAACAGGCCAGTGTGCTGCTGCAGCACAGAGGACTCTGTGTCCCACTGACACCGTTACCATACAGGACAGCAGGTCACCAACAAGCACGCTGGACCACTGGGGGACTCCTACCTATGACTGCTACCTACACACAGGATCTCGAAGATTGTTTTTTAGACTTAGCAACAAGTAACACTTTTACTGCAAAATGACGCTGATATAGCAGCATTTGGTTGATACTGCAGGAGCAACTAGTATTTGGTGCTGACATTCAAAGCTTTTGGGATCACACACTGTTTTAGAGCAAAACCTCTGTGTCTATATGCAGTGTAAGTATGTGCACAATGCTGGCTTAAAGTTGCCCGAGCAACAGCCCATTTGCCCTCTTTGACTGGATGAAGCAAGTAGCCCAGGCAGCATTTAACACGTAACCCATAATTGCTAAAGTTAGGCCAAATTAAATCACTGTATCATCCAAACTTTTATTACTTTTTGACAGGAATGCCTTTATGGGACACAGAGGCAGGGCGGCCCACAGCCATAAAAAAATAAAGTGATGCAAAGCTAAGCTCTCTGTCATGTGACACTGCATCTAATACTTGTTACTGTTATTCGGGGGCTCTGGGTGAGTCTTTTAAAGATATAATGATAAATGGTATTATAACCAACAGGATGAATAAAAATCTCCACATGTGCTTCTGAACAATGTGCAGCTTGTCACTTTTGCGTCATATTGTACATATTGCTTTACAATATGCTATCACAGGAACCAATCTTAGCTTGCAAGCTGGATAACATATAGGCAGCAGGGTTAGGGGTAGGGTTGTGTTTCCAGGTTAGAGTAACAGCCCCTCAAAATGTCTGTGCACGTCCCTTATCCAGTGTAGTCCCAGTGCCAACGCATTGCTTTCCCTGGATGGGAAATTAAAATCTTGAAAATATATTTACCACTTTAGTGCATGCTCAAGTGTCATTGCTATGCTGTTTTTTCCTCTGCTTCCTAATTCGTTTTTTTCTTCTTTTTGCAGTAACACTGGTGATGTCTAAAAACAAAAACAATTCAAAATAGTGATTTTTTATTATTATTTATTTTGCAGTTTGAATGCAGAAACTCTTTTAGACAAGACTGCACTCTTCAGCTTGGTGACAATTTGAGTCTGGTGCACAAAAACCATGCACAAACTTACAAATCTGTGACTAAATAGAGTATTATATTTAATGTGAGTCCCCCCTGCCTGAATACAGACAACCATGCTAATAGCTACATGATTAATATGGTATATTTTCTGTACGGGGAGGTGTTTCCGTGAAAAGCCATGAGGCCTTAAAATGTTACAACCCAGTTTTTAGTAGCTTACACCAATTTTCCAGCCATGTCTGCAGTCTAAAAATGGTTCTTCGACTCTCATACGCACCTCTAAAATAGTGGTTGTGCCGTAAAAATGTCCCCTTATCTTTCCTGTGGGTGTAAATCCTGGCTTGTCTAATCCAAGCTGTATAACCCAAATAGAGAAATCCCATCATAGGAAAGAAGAAAATCAAGTAAAAACAGAAAATTAAGTACATACTTTGCCATTTTATATAAATAGCAAGAAACGTGCCTGTGCTGCTTTGGAAGTGAGGGAAAGGATTGTTTTTTTCACTTTAAGCTCATTGGTGAAATGAGTTTAGCATCTTCAGCATTGGATTCAAACTCACTTTGGACACTGTGTCATCTGCTGCCACTAACAGGTTTTGGTATTGTCTTAAAATATGAGACAAAGCCTTTGACACAGGGGTTCTACAAGTAAAAAATAACCCAAGAGAAAGAAACAGTTAAATGACATGTGGTGTTGCTAAGAAGTGTATTTTTGCTTGGCATGGAACATGGAAGAGAGTCAGAAAACGAAAACAAGGGTCAGGGAAACAAGTTAAGAGGGGCAGGTACCAAATCACTCATCCTAAGTAGGTAAAAATGGATGGATGAAAGATATATGGACTTTACCTTCTACAAACGATGATGATGTTAGTGTCGATGATGGTGACAGCGGCGGACGACTGTGCTGGCGCTGACGTCTCGCTCTCTCGGGTGTCCTTCACATGCCCGGACAGGAAAAGGTGGGCTGACTTTTCACCGGCTGGTGCACCCCCTGCCAATGACATCAGAAGTGAGAGCATTAGTTTCTACTCATCGCCTCAGGTGCACTTTTTTTCTCCGACCACTGACTCCCCCTCGGCTCTCCGCACTTTGTCGTAGCCATTGTACATTTTCCACTACGGTTTGCTGTGGGGTAATTTACGCTTGAGTGCGGTAGACAATGCTCTTTTGAATTGTACATGGTTAAACAAAATTACATTGCAACACAGACACAGCATTTTAGAGCTCACAACCTGGCTTTATGTGACATCTGTACTAGAAAACATGTTTTCCACTGGTCAAGTCGCCCATTGGTTTGTGGAGTACTGTTTCGTCACTGACAGTTTGTCGGGGGCAGTGGAGGTGACATACTGCGAGCTGAGCTGCACTGTTTGGCTGTGAAGTTTTGACTCTTCTATAGCAGGAAACGATTTTAGGTGAGAAATATTCAACGCAGTGACAGAATTTTGATTCAAATTTGATCGGCCCTGCCTAGTGTGACAGTTTGATCTGAGTTTCATGCGTTGAGCTGGACAGACTGAAAATGACTTGTAAATTACGAGGTAGATGCGCCCAAAAGCATACCATGCTTTATAATCTATTTTAGTCTAGATTGCATCTCTTCAGAGACTTCCCTGACACATTCTTGAAAGCATGTAAAAAAAAATCTGTCTCATACTAATGGAATTAGTCATTTCAAGATGTTTGCAAAAGTCTGCATTTGAAAATAATTATACGCGATTAATCATTTGTACTAATATTGCTTTATACTAGTTGTTGTGTTGTTGTACTGTTTTTGATTTCAACTCATTTGATTACAAGTCTCTGTATGCAGCAGTGTCTGCCCTCATCAGGGTTATAGAAGCAGAAAGAGCTCCATTTCAATCACCCAACACCCAGTATGTGTGTGTTTGTGCATGTCCCCAAACCAGGGGCGACACACACATTTACACACTGTTTCACTCTTAATGCAGTGCATACTGGGGACATGAAGCAGAGCCTTTTGTGTGAGTGACTGGGGGCACTGCAGCGACGACATGGTACTGCTCGTGACCCTCGGGGTGAAAAGGCAGACACCCACAATTTGTTTCCACTGCAGGCTCTATTTCAAAGTTAGTACCAGTTATAAATCCACACTATACCTGCAAATAAGGAGGGGGGCTGAGATAAAGAGGGGGGGTAGGACATATGGTAATGTATATTAAAATTTTGTTGCCACAGATTTTTACCTCCAGATGATCCGGTATGTGCACATATGGGTGCTACATATGTGTCAGCCATTATGAGCACTAGAGATGGCATTCAGCTGCAGTTCTGATGGAAATGTTTGGTCATTTAGTCCAAATAAAGCTAATGAGCAACTTGAGCAGCTGGTTATGACTCAGTAAGTTCCCCCGTTTGCACAATGGCAATATGTCAAGCAGTGTTGCAGGCACACCTAATTATCTGGGCCCTCCGTTAGATAATACATACCTGTATAAAGCGATGACAGGACAATAAAGTTGCCTTCTGTAGCTGTTCACTGACTTCTTTGTCTTTTCAAAAAACCTGTTTTCAAATACCTTCCTTTTGTCTCATGTCTCTTAATATTTCCTTTAATTTGACAGTTTTTTCCATCCCTAAATACTCTTGTTAGTAATTTCTAAAACCAAGTGGAGGACAGAGAAGCCCTTAGGGAATATATTGTATATGTGGATTGTAATAGCCTTTAACAGGCCACATGATAGAAATTATTTCTGAAGAGAGAGATAGTAAGCACTCAACTGTTTGCAGTCGTGACAGCTTCACCCATCATTATTCACCTTCTATGCTGCTAGCTTTCTTGGAGATTTCCTTTAACATGATGCTGGAGAACAGTTTAATAATGCTGTAATCAAGTGAAAAAGATTCAATTTGGAAAGCATGAAAACACAGATGTTTTACAAAGTAAAATATTTCTGCTATAAATTCAGTGTTTTCTAAATTCCAACATTATGTATCCAGTATTTCACATTTCCCAATACAGATTCAGTTCCTTGTGAGATCCAAATCTTTATGGCCATCATCTGCTCTTATCATCTTTCCTCATTTTCAATTTCTCCTCCTTTTAAAAAAAATAATCAATTGGGTAATTGGTACCTTTATATTTTCATTCCTGTTTGTTTTTTTTCTATTTGTCTGCATGCATGCACCTCTTATTCAGAAAAACACCTGTAATAAAATTGTGGAGCTGTTCAGAGACACATTTCTGCTTTTGCACTGGAACAATCTGTACATGTTCTTGTGTCTTTCAGTCAGAAAGACAGGGGCATCATTACACACATCTCAAGGCAAACCCTCATTCGTGTCCCCTTGTGTTGGCAGTTGTCATCGACACATAGCCTATCACAAGCCATATTTAACATTTTTGGTTAATTCCTGCAGATGGTCTGCACACACTTGTGTGTTTTACACTTGAGCCAGTGTATGCTGGAATAGGAAATTGTTAGCAGATGAAGAACTACAATAAGTGCTGAGAGCTGAAAAGGCAGCAAAGGTTGATTTTTCACTCCCAGTTTGTCTTGGGGACTTTATAATATAATATTTCAACAAATATGCAGTGAAAAGTGAAACGCTTGCATGCTCACACGCACACACACAGCAAAGCTTGCATACACAGGTTTTACCCAGTTTGGTTCTTTTCTGAACTGACGTCAAATGCAAACTACTGAGTGACAGCTGACAGTCACCTGGGATAGACTGTGCCATTGGCTGTATTATGCAACAGAGAGTATTTCACACCGTCTACATCCATTATTTTGGTTGCCTACTTGAATTTGCAGCCAATACAATTTTAAAACAACATACAAACAAGATAATGATATACAAACAGATCTGTTGTCCAAAATCCACTTTGCACTCTGCTCCCAAGTTTGAGTGCTAACTAGGCGAGACAGACTAAGTTTTATTTTCATCAACTCTCTATTTTCTCTTTGAGTCATCAGGTTTTGACATTATTCTTGGAAGACTGCTATGATGCAAGTATCTTGTTCGCTCCAGATAAAACAAAGACTTTGGCCCGTTCCCTCTCCCTCCTCCCTGCTCACGCTGTCTGAAACTGGACTCCATCCATCCCCGATTGTATCATGTTCGGCCTGTCCTTTCCCTCTCCTCTCTTTGGTTTCCTGGCATACGGTTCACAGCATGAGGTCCTGGCCTGGGAGGCCTCAGGTTGTAGTAATGACAATGTTTTCACTAAACTGCCCACTGAAGGCAGACGCAGCCCATATCAGGTTTCATACCATGGTCCATTAGGCTGGTGACTCATCAGTGCTTCCCTGGACTGTTTAGTTTTTCCCTCTGTTCATAGCTACAACATCTGGGGGAACCTGTGGCCAAAGGACAAGAGGAGCACCCCCACTTGAGTGTGTGAAGTGCTAAAATGAGGTTATTGTCTAAGAGGAGCTTATCATAATTACTACACCTTTTCTCAGCGACACGTGCAGTTTTAAAAGATGCAACTGTTACTGTCAGCTAATGCTAAAATCCCACAAGGTTGAAAACACTGTCTCTTACCTACATTTTAATGTTACAGCTGATTTACAAAAAAACAAAAAGCCCGTACAGTTTATAGAGTTTTATATATGCAGATGATAGTCTACATTATATTGCCAAAAGAAACCCAAACTTAAAACGTAACTTAAAATTTCCTGGAGCCTCTATCATCACTAAACTCTGATATTGGCTCCAACAAGTAGTTCCGGGAGAGATATTTTTAAAAACGTAATTTGTAAACATTATAAATATATAGGAATGAATAATAATATACAGTAGTTAGCTAATGATATGCCCCTTGGGTTTGGAAGACAATAGCATACTACCGTAGGTGAGCTAGTTAGCTAGGCATGCTAACATATGCAGCTTACGTTAGAGCATATAAACACACTGTTTAAGCCATTCCTTACACTTTTGCATTTAGTTTTTGAATCATAAACAAAGACACCACAATCTTGAAACTCAAGACTCATGCACACCGCTCCAACCTGTGGAGATTAAAATCCAAAGCCTGACAGAATCACTGGGCCTAGTTATGATTGCTAAACTATGACTTGGGTTTAGCAAAAGGTCAGTTAATTTATTCATACAAATCTGTATGAGCCAGACTAACTCACCTCCCATAATTTTACACGCTGTAAACAACAAACTCCACCCTGCCCAATAACCAGTCAGCAGAGCAATATTCAATATCCAAGAGACAACATAAAAGTATCTTCACATAACCTCACCCTCACTTTTATTCTCAGTATGTCAGAAGACAGGGTCGACACAAAACACTTGGTGATAAATTGTGATCAAAAGACAGCGAGAAGCAGTGGGAGCATAACTCATGCTCGGTGGGATCACACATGTGGTGATCTTCTATAACTCACGCAGGGTTGCTACTCTGTGTTGCCAGTAACTGTCACAGTGGCTTAAAGTTTTGGCTGAGCGGTCCAACAAGCAGCTCCGAGCAGGAACATCCTGGAGAGAACAAAGAGCATGAGCTGTGGCCTAATGGGCAGAGAGTCAAGCCTGTGGCTGGAGAGTTGCTAGTTTGATTCCACGCTGGAAAAATCTATTGAGGGCAAGTGAAAGTGACAGTCTGACCTTGAGAATCCCTAAAGTGGATAAATATAGGTTGACAAAATGCACAAAGCAACATCTGTCACTGATTAGTACTTCAAACTGTTGTCTCTTCTGTGTCTGTGTTTTCACAGCTTATAATGCAAATGATCTCATAGCTTCTCTTGTCAGTAAGGAGATAAACTCATCATGCTTCCTTAATGTTTTAATCAGACAAACAATACAGGATAATGGCCAGTGCACAAGCTAGCAAAAATAGCTGTCCTCAGACTATGTTCTAAACTATGCAGGCACATACATTTTGCTACTTTTTTTGTACCAAACGTTGTGAAGATAATATGTAACATGTTTTACAAACAGCTGAAATTAATTTAACTTTAGCATATGTAAACGCTTTTCTGAGGTAGAGAAGTTTAAAAGAAAAGTATCATT